GTGCTGAGCAGCTGTGGCTGGGGAAGCGACGGGCAGCAGGCCCTCAAATCTTGTTTCACCAACCTTGCTTCATTGTAGCTCAGACGAGGAAAAACACCGATTCCCAGCCAGGGCCACCGTCTGTGGCGTCTGCTCGGTCTCCCCGTGTCTCTGTGGGTTGTCTCTGGGCACTCTGGTTTCCTCCGTGTCCACACACGCGCACATGAGTCCCTGGCATGTCTGCGTGGTCCCTGTGTGAGTGCAGGTCCCTGTGTGAGTGCAGGTGTGCTGCTCTGCGATGGGACAGCGTCCTCCCCAGGGCTGGAGCCTACCCTGCACCCTGAGCTGCCAGCTCAGGCTTGGGCCACCCACACCCCTGAACCAGAACCACTGGGTAACACGGATCTTATTTCTATTAATCTTTCTTAAATGTATGTGTAGACCACATTTACTTCAGTATTTCATATTAAAACTGTTTGGGGTCTTTTTTCAAAGTCTGGTGATGACCCTGTGACCAGAATGACGCCCTAGGCACTTCAGTCTTGCTCCTCAACGCGCCCATTGTGGAACTGGTTTCATTAGACGCCACTTCACCTAAGCCTGCCATTTCCAAGAACCTGTCTATGACGTGTGTTGCCGTTTCTATGAACCCGTCTGTGGTGAGGACGTACTGTCCTGGGCTCTGTTCACCGCTGCCTTGCACCCGGGCTTCTGTACGGGGCCACGTACTCAGCACTCAACACCCAGGACTCTGCCATGCCGACCGCTCTGCACACATCGTGTCGTGTAATCCTCACAAGACCACAGTGGGAGGTATGAAAATCATTCACTCAACCAATGAGGAAACCGAGGCTTAGGACGTTTCAGTAACTTCGTGAAGATCACACTGTCACCTGAAGGCATGTCCCACCCTGGGACACAGCGGGTGGTGTGGTGCGCTGGCGGAAGAGGCGGCCGTCTGCCCGAGTGGATTTGCAGGAGGACAGGGGGTGGTACTGGAGCAGAGAATGGGGGGTGGTGGACAGCCCACGGCCCTGTGCACACTTGGACAAAGATGCTGCACGCAGCCCTATGGGAGTGGAAGCCCAGCTGGCAGGCCTTCCCTGCAGCCAGGAGTCCGCACATGGAAGCAGGGTCTCCACCCACCCTGTGGGCAGCACCCCAGACCCTGCAGGATCCCAAAGGCCAGCTGTTCCTCCAGGACTGGTGGCCCTGGGGCAGCCAGGGAGGCATTGTGGGCAGTGGATGCCGCCGTGCAGGTGAGGAAGAGCCGGCCAGCCTCACATGCACAGAGCCGACACCCTATGTGTACACGAGAGCTTTGCCAGCGTCAGGAGCGTCTTGGCTCCCCCAGCCTAGGCAAAGCAGCCGCGAGCATGTGAAAGCCTCATTAAAGACAGATGGAAAATATGCTTTCCTGTGTGACTGGGAGACGTGTCAGGAAGAAGCCACTCCACATAATGAATACGACTCATCCATTAAAATAATCACCTCTTCTCCTTGATGGGGGGTGGAAATGGGAAAGAGGACAAACCTTGCTAGGCCAAAGAGCTCTCCTCCACCCATCCTGAGGGCCCCGACTCGTCACTAGCAGAGGAGTGGGAGAGGCTGGCAGGGCTGCCGGGCTCCCTGGAGCTGCTGCCCCCAGGATGCCCACTGTCCATTGCCCGCACACCTGCCCACTGCACCGTCATCAGCAGAGCCTGGCCTCTCCTCTCCTGCCTGTAACTCCCAGGTCCAGACTTGGCCTTGGATCTGTTATCAAATGTGTAAGTGCCGCCGTTCAACTCCCAGGTCTGTTTCTCCCCTCCGGATAAGGTCTCACTGGCACACATCAAGGCACATTCAGGGAGCCTGACCGCAGCTGGGTTGCAAGAGTGAAGGCTGAGACAACACTAGCGTCCATCAGTAGAGGATGCATTAGTGACCCCCAGGGGCATCAGGAGAGGGTGGGTGAGTGACCCCCAGGGGCCACACTCTGGAATACTCTGCCTCAGGATGGGAGGAGCAGGCAGGCCCCATAGGCAGCATGGGAATTGCCCCAAGACAGGTTGCTGATGAAGAAGGCAGGGTGAGAAAGAATGCCCACCCCCGACCCGTTCTCCAGGTCCGTTTAATCACGTGTGTGTGTGTGTGTGTGTGTGTGTGTGTGCATGCTCTTGAAAAACGCCTAGAAAGACCGACCCTCAACTAGAGCAAAGTTGAAGAAAAGGATTTTAACTTCTTAGACATATGCGTGTGTCGCGTTGAACATATTACAAATTACATTCACATGGTCCCATGTCATCACACGCACAACCCCTGCAGCCTGTCTGGGGCCCTATATTTCAAGGCCACCTCAGTGAACCAGCAAGTTCGGAGGCAATAGAGGGATGAGGGATGCCGGGGCTGAGGGAGCGGCTCTGCATCCTCAAGGGGATGATGGACAGCAGAGCACAGCCTGTGAGACCAGAAGCGGGACCACTGAGGACTTGCTCATTCAGTGAGATGACCTGCTCAGTGACGGCTCTCCCCACACACAGCCTGCCCCCAAACACACACACACAGCAGCATCCCCCAATTCCTCAGCTACACTCCAGGCATCGGTGGAACTGCCACACAGAAAACCATGGGTCTGACAGAGTCAGAAACGGAGAAATGTTCAAACTGACTGCTTAGTAAATAAATGCATGGGTGAGCAGATAGAGGGGTGAGCTAATGGCTGCAGTAACTTGTAAGCACCAGAAGGATATACGCACCAGTAGGAAGACTCCATCTCTCACACAGAGTCTGCGCCAATGAAGCAAAAGCCTGGCCGCTCTGACGGGCTCCCTTCCAGCAGGCGAGGCAGCGGCACCTGCTTCTCTGGCTGTATATCATTCCCTGGAACCTGCTCCCTGAGACAAGGCGCTCCTCTTCCCATCCAACCAAACCAGGGACCGCTCAGGTCCGGAATAAACATGTTTGCTATGTCCTTCCAGTGAGACGAGAATTAAATTCAAGGAGATATCAAGAAATTCCTGTCAAGAACTGTGAAGGGTCTGAGATTTTACCCTACTTACAGCCCCAGGTACATGGGTGCTGGCTGAAGACATGACACTTCTGGATCAGAGACAAAGGACTTTGTTACTTACATCAACAGCTGTGGCCAGGGTATTGGCATTTCTGCACCAGTATCCTGGGCTCCACCCCCTTCAGGGGTTCAGGAAGAAGGCAGGCAGCACCTGCACATGCAGTGGGTCTGTTACAGGGAGGACCCTTGAGCCTAGGGCACCCGGTTCTTCTCTAGCAGGTAGTACACATGCCTGCACTCTCTCCTGGAGGGAGACATCATCTTTATCATGCTGGACAGTAACCATGCCTGCCCGTTGTCACAGAACGAGACGCTCTATTTTCCAAGGCTGCAGGCAAACCTGCCCTTTTCTCCAGTGGGGAGACAAGGAAGGGAGACACTACCTTTATCTTCCAAGGCATTTCACTCTGCAAACAACCAGAATAGATAACCTAGAACAAAGGGCCACCGGGGCCTCCCTCGCAGGATGTGCACAAATACACCAGCCCCTGGGAGCCGGCTCCACGGCTCCCTCTCGCCCCACAATACCAGCTGGGATGGAATGTGCGTGTTCGTGTGTTCTATTTTAAAAATGAAGATATTTGTTATTTTTATTGGGATTCTGAAATACAAAAAAAAAAAAAAACAAACAACTGAGGTACTGTGGCGGGCAGCTTCTGAACTGACCCCCAGTGGTCCCTACCCCCTGGTATGTATTCACCCCCACACAGGGGCTGCACCCAGTGCCTCGCCGCGAGCTGGTGGAGCACCGCAGAGGGAAGGCACGTGCTGTGGTTTGCTGTTGGGCCTCTCCAGACCTCATGTTGAAATGTGACCCTCAGTGGTGGAGGTGGGGCCTAATAGGTGGTGTTTGGGTTGGGGGCGGAACCCTCATGAGTGTCTTGGGTGCCGTCCTCAGTCTTCATCCCAGTGAGTGAGTTCTCATTCTGTTCCTTCCCTAAACTGATTGATTATGCAGAACAGCCCGGCACCTCCCTCTCTCTCTTTGTGGCTTCCCTCTCCCCATGTGATCTCTGTGAGTGCCGGCTCTCCCTCCCCCTCCACTGAGGGTGGACACAGCCTAAGGCCTCACCAGGAGCGGATGCTGGCACCATGCTTCCAGTGCTGCCTGCAGAACCGTGAGCCAAATAAACCTCTTTCTTCATCTGCTGCCCAACCTTGGGTTTTCCTTTATGGCAATGCAAATGGATGCAGACAGCAGGACATGTCCAGGTGAGCTGAGGAAAGGCTGCGGCTTCTCTCTTCAGCTCTTCTCCTGGGCTGCTCTGAGGAAGGTGCTGTTGTGTTGTGGGCAGCCCAGGGGAAGGGCCCCTGTGACAGGGAACTGCGGGAGCTTGTGACCCACAGCGGGTGGGAAACTGGGGCCCTCTGTCCGACAACTCAGGAGTACCTGAGTTCTGCCCAAACTGCAGGAGGAATGACCTTGGTTTCAGCTTGGGAGAGGCCCCAAAGTAGAGGACCGAGCTAAGCCCTGTGCAGATTTCTGATCTGGGAGGTAATCAATCTTTCTTAGGCCACTGAGTTTTGGGGTAATTTCTTAGGCAGCAATAGATAACTCATACAAGCTGGGTGTGGTGGCTCCTGCCTGTAGTCCCAGCTCTTCAGGAGGCCGAGGTGGGAGGATCGCTTGAGCCCAGGAGTTCAAGGCCAGCCTGGGCCACACAGCAAGACCTCACCTCTACAAAAATTAATTAAAATAAAAGAGATAACTAATAGAGCTATTGAAAAAATTAAGAGAACAAAATGACTCCACACATGTAGTAGTACAGTTCGGAGAATATTTTGGCGGCGTTTTCCTGAAATCTGGGTTTGAAGCAAAGCAAAATTGTTTTTACATGGATAATAGTGTGAAGGAACCTATATTTTAATATAATTTACAGAAGCATTAGTCAAAGTGAAGTGAGTTCTTTTCCACATAGAAATTAAAAGGTAGTAATTCAAGACGCCATTGCCACCATTTGGACTTAACTACTGCACCACTGAAAGATTTTATTGTACAGCTTGGACAAAGGCACGAGCTTTATGGAAGAGCAATTCTGCGTAATAATTACATGATGACATTGGGGCTACAAGACGGTAACGAAACTCCGCTTCCTCAGAGACAGCACCCCAGGGACACTTTCTTTTCCTCTTACACACAGGCCGTTCTCTCCGTTTACACAACAGCCCTCTACTCAGTGAGCCTCCGCCCTTCACAGAGGGACAGCTCCCTGGCTGGCACCACGGTCTGGGCTCTGGCCCTGCCAACCCTGCGGGGACACGTGGGGCCCCCAGTGGGCAGCCCCAGCCCGAGGCTCACATGCGGAGGCTCACGGGCTCTCCCGGCGGCCAGCCCCAGCCCGAGGCTCACATGCTCTCCTTGTCGAACTCACACATGAAGTACATGGTGGTGTGACAGGCCACGTCGTTCCAGCCGCCCGAGGCCACCATCTCCACGCAGTCCTCCTCGTCGTAGGCGTTGTTGGGCTCGCCGCTGCGCCACTTGTTGAAGGTCCGCATGGGGGAGCGGTCGGAGTACACGAAGGCGCCCTCCCTCTCCAGGTCGTTGATGCCGATGAAGACACGGGCCAGGCCGGCCTGCGCCAGGTATGCGGCCATCAGGCCATTGGCAGCCTCGTCCTTGGGCATGCCCAGCGTGCCTCCTCGGCCCTGGCAGGACAGCTGGGCATCCGCATAGCGCTTCTCCTCCTTCACCAGCAGGTAGATCTTGCTGTCCGTCTCGCGCACACCAGCGACAGCTGTGGGGAAGGGCAGGGCTGAAAAGCGAGCACTTGCATCTCTGCAACAAACTTCAGGCACAGCCATGTGCAGCAGGGGCTGGCGGGGCAGCAGGGGACGGCAGGGCAGCAGGGGATGGCAGCAAGGGATGGCAGGGCAGCAGGGCCAGCAGGGCAGCAGGGGACGGCAGGGGCCGGCAGGGCAGTAGGGGCTGGCGGGGCAGCAGGAGCCAACAGGGCAGCAGGGGCTGGCAGAGCACCAGGAGCCAACAGGGCAGCAGGGCCAGCAGGGCAGCAGGGGACGGCAGGGCAGCAGGGGACGGCAGGGCAGCAGGGGAACAGGGCAGCAGGGCCAGCAGGGCAGCAGGGGACGGCAGGGCAGCAGGGGACGGCAGGGCAGCAGGGGACGGCAGCAAGGGATGGCAGGGCAGCAGGGGACGGCAGGGCAGCAAGGGAAAGCAGGGCAGGCGTGGCCACTGCAGAGCCCTTGCTGGGGGTCTTTGGACGGGGCCAGGAGGTGGGAGGGAGGGAGGGAGGGTGGCGCCGGGAGCCACATACCGTTCTTGATGAACTTGAGCTCGCTGGTCAGCTGAGAGACCTGGTTGTCCATCTCCCCGATGGCCTTGCGCAGCTGGCTGCATTCACACGGGAGGCCTGCAGGGGCCGGGCCGGTGCGTTACAAAGGCTGGACGAGGACTCGGGCTCGGAAGAGAGGCGAGGACCCCTCCCCAGAAATACGCATTTTACTCAACAAACATGCCCCACGGGCCTTCGAGGCCGCAATATCCATCTCCCCCTTCATCCTAAAGGTAGGCGGAGCAGGGAAAGACCTCGACAGGAGCAGAGGGAGGGCAGACGTGTGTATTTCAAACCTCGCCAGCTGTAGAGGGAAGAGAAATGGAGGTGCAGGGGTGGGAAGCAGCCCAGGGCAGGGTTGGGACCCAGGGAAGCAGGTCAGGCTGAGGGTGTGCAGTGAGAAAAGGTAGAACATCTGGCAGCAGTCCTCCATGGCCTGGGGGCACTGCAGGGCTGAGGGGGGCTGAGGGGAGCTGAAGGCGGCAACAGCAGCATCCACTGTGCAGAGCTCTCGAGGTGGCGGGGCCGTTCCATTCCTAGCCGAGTACAGGAGGTGGAATCGCCAACACGCAGGTGCCTGTGACATGTCAGGTGGGGAGTAGGGGCCAGGGCAGAGCTGGGCATCGTGGGCATACACAGGGCGTGAGGGATGGTTCAGGGAGGGAGGACAGGGCAGCATCACCAGGAGGACCTGGAGGCCGTGGATGAGGCCTGGGAGGAAGCGAGGCGTGCGGGTGGCTTTGCGCCTTTTCCCACAGTTTCCACTGTGTGGTCTCAGCCCACCCTGCAGTCTGGTACATCCTGTGGAAGTTCAATCCCATCTTCCTGGACGTCGGCAATCAAGTAGAGCCCAAATCACCCACCTCGCCCTCATACGTGAGACCCCCCGATTCACATTTGCACATTTGAAACTTGATCTTTCTTGGGGTTTGCCTTGGTTTTGGGATTTTCTTAGTGGAAGTTTTATCTAAGATACATTTTTAAAAAATATATTTTGTCTTCGAGCTCCCTGAGGTTGGAGGTAACAGAGGCTTTCTGGAGAGACCCCTGTCAGGGGAAATGGATGGATTCCTTTCCTCATAACCTCCAAACTCTCTGACCACAGTAGGCCTGATGGCAGCAGCTCGGCCCCAGGATGTCCCCTCTTCTTGCCCTGCCCTCACCTGCCTCCAGGTCCTTCTGTCTCTCAGAGGCTTTGTCCAGGCCCCTCAGGTTGGCTGATGCCTAGAGGTGCCCTGAACGGATGGTGCTCGGCCACTCAGTGACACTGATCTCAGCGCACTCGTACGGAACAAAGTCACGCAGGCAAGGACACCTCCCGAACAGCTGTTCCTCCTCATCTCTGTGATGCGGGAGGAGCTTTTAAAACAAGAACTTTTATTCAGAAATCTAGCCCCTTTGTTTTCCCCCCTAGTTTCCAAGGGTCAGATCCTTCTCGGAGAGCACCTTCTGAATGTGCTGTGAAGCGAGTGACATCACGGAGACACAGCGCGTCTCGGGGAGAAAGGCTGGCTCCAGCGAGCAGACGCCTGCAGAAGGGACGCTCCCCGCCACCCCCGTGAACACACTGAACGCACTGAATTCTCTTCCAAGGCCCAGCTGTCGAGCTTCTTGGTTGAGGGAAGAGGGGAAGGTTGGAGTCTGACTGAAAGAATATTCTAGTTACTTAAACACTGTATCTTCCACCTAATTTAGTATCTCTTAAGTATCTTTTGTGGTCAATAAAAAAGGACTGGAGGGCACAGAGCCATCAGGATGTTATTTCAGGAATTCAGCTCGAAAGCAATGAGGCCTGAATGAGGGAGAGGGTGGGGTGAGAGGGGCGCAACAACCCCCGCCTGGAGGCGCTGAAGCAGAAGGAAGATTAGAGGATGCCTGACATTGTCATGGGGCATGAGTGAGCAGCTTGGGAGTTGGTGGGGGGCGACGGGTGTACAGTGTGGAATGGGCACGGGGTGGGTGTCCACTGTGGATGTACATGGCGGGTGGGTGTCCGCTGTGGGATGTACATGGCAGGTGGGTGTCCAGTGTGGGATGTACATGGCGGGTGGGTGCCCACTGTGGGATGTACATGGTGGGTGGGTGTCCGCTGTGGGATGTACACGGTGGGTGGGTGTCCACTGTGGATGTACATGGCGGGTGGGTGCCCACTGTGGGATGTACATGGTGGGTGGGTGCCCACTGTGGGATGTACATGGCGGGTGGGTGCCCACTGTGGGATGTACATGGCGGGTGGGTGCCCACTGTGGGATGTACATGGCGGGTGGGTGTCCACTGTGAGATGTACATGGAGGGTGGGTGCCCACTGTGGGATGTACATGGCGGGTGGGTGTCCACTGTGGGATGTACATGGCGGGTGCCCACTGTGGGATGTACATGGCGGGTGGGTGCCCACTGTGGGATGTACATGGCGGGTGCCCACTGTGGGATGTACATGGCGGGTGGGTGCCCAGTGTGGGATGTACATGGCGGGTGGGTGCCCACTGTGGGATCTACGTGGTGGGTGGGTGCCCGCTGTGGGATCTACGTACACGGTGGGTGGGTGCCCGCTGTGGGATGTACATGGTGGGTGGGTGCCCGCTGTGGGATCTACGTGGTGGGTGGGTGTCCGCTGTGGAATGTACATGGTGGGTGGGTGCCCGCTGTGGGATGTACATGGTGGGTGGGTGCCCGCTGTGGGATGTACATGGTGGGTGGGTGCCCGCTGTGGGATCTACATGGTGGGTGGGTGTCCGCTGTGGGATGTACATGGCGGGTGGGTGCCCGCTGTGGGATCTACATGGTGGGTGGGTGTCCACTGTGGGATCTACGTGGTGGGTGGGTGTCCACTGTGGGATGTACATGGTGCGTGGGTGTCCACTGTGGGATCTACACGGTGGGTGGGTGTCCGCTGTGGGATGTACATGGTGCGTGGGTGTCCGCTGTGGGATCTACATGGTGGGTGGGTGTCCGCTGTGGGATCTACGTGGTGGGTGGGTGCCCGCTGTGGGATGTACACGGTGGGTGGGTGTCCACTGTGGGATGTGAGGGGGGTGGGCGTGCAGTGTGGGATGTACATGGTGCGTGGGTGTCCGCTGTGGGATCTACATGGTGGGTGGGTGCCCGCTGTGGGATCTACATGGTGGGTGGGTGTCCGCTGTGGGATGTGAGGGGGGTGGGCGTGCAGTGTGGGATGTACGTGGGGGATGAGTGTCCAGTGTGGTAATCCAGGGTGTGAGGGAAGGGCTCCAGTGAGACAGATGAGGACCATGAGACCCCCAGTGGAGATGCCCACCAGACATGGGTCCTTTGGGGCTTGACCTCATGAGGGCCACCGTGTAGGGGTATGGGGGTGAGGGCTGTACCAGGGCTCAGAGGAGGTCACTATTCTGGGGAGGGAGCAGAAGAGCTACAGAAGGAGTTTTGGGAGAAAGATAGCAGAGTGGGGGGGGGGAGCGTGTGAAGGCAGGCAGAGGGCAGGGACAGAGGACAGGACACAACGTGTCCTGGTGACTTGGCAGCAGAAAGCAGGTGCCCCACAGGGAAGCCACGTCCACCTGGGCTGAATCTGAGCTCCCTGGGCCCTCCGAGGGGAGCCGTGTCAGTGGAGCACCATTGTGGGAGTCGGATGCAAGGACGTCTGAAACCAGGGAAAGAGCCACAAAGTCCAGATGTGCTTTCTGAGAAGTCTGGCGGTAGGAGGAGACCCCTAGTGCCCACAGAGGCGAAGAAGTGGAGAATGCTCATCCTAGGACCGGTGTCACTGAGCCCAGCTACACACACAGACAGAATAACACAGTGGACAGGCAGATGACACTCCTAAGAGGTCATTAACATTCAGGTAGAAGGAAATCAAACACTGCAGCATCTCTGAGAGCATTACTGACACGGGGACCACATGGCCGGCGTATGCGCTCTGTTCCCCAGCCCACCGCAGTTCCATTTAATGATCTACATTGTTTTCCAAAGTGCAATTTTTAATACATTATATGAAAAATCCTGGACCCTTTATGCCATACCTGGTTCTCCATTAGGACCAGGGGGTCCTATGTCACCAGAATCTCCTTTCTCACCTGAAAATGAAAAACAAGGTCCAAGTCACCAGGCAGAGGTGGACGTGTTCTTTGAGTTAAAAACAACAAGACTGAAAATGTGACTTGTCTCGTGGATTTCTCCCAGGCCACCCTGTTGTTGTGAAGTACCGGAGCTCCATTCTGCAGGTAATTCCTGCTTCCGGCACTATTTATGTGATACGAACCGTATACATGTCATGGGGTGACAGGGATTATCGGGTGATCATTCTTTAAGTCAGTTCTGGAAAATCCAGGATATCCGATGGAATACTCTGCATACATCGCCTCATGAATCCCTGGTGCCATGAGTGAGCCGCCACTCCCCTCAACAGCCGACACGCCTCTCACAACAGCAGGAAAATCCAGATCGAGCATGATGGGAGCGCCGAGCGCCGCGCGGGCCTGAGAGCTCATCTAATCCAAGAGTCAGCGCACTCCTTCCTGTCCCAGCTCAAGGTCCTTCCTGTCCCTGCTTGCGGCAGCCCGGTGTCCTGGAGGGCCCAGACGCCAGAAGCCCTGGGCTCCATCCTGGCCTGGACCCAACCTCCAGTTAGATGAGACAAGCCACCTCACCACCCTGCCCCTCAGCTTTCCTCAACGTACAAAACAAGGGGGTTGAACAAAATGATGGCAATAGGGCTTTCTAGCTGCTCTAAAATTAAGTCATGTGACTTAATAGAAATAAATTCTAATGCATTCTCTTTATTCTCACAGAGAAGCCCCAAATGCCTCTGCAAAGAGACTTGTGTAGATTCCAATTCCATTCGCACAAGGAGGGAAGGAGTTCCGCAGCCTCCACCCACCCAATTCCTTTGTGTTCCTTTATAAGCATCGGGAGCTTGGAAATGAAAGCACAGCTGGATCAGAACCCAGGATGACAATCTCAGACACAAGGCAAATCAAATAAGCAAAGCCAAACAAGGCCAGCCTGGACCAGCTGCCCCTTAGGAGTCACCGGAATCTGCCCAGAGCACACACCGCATGGTAAACGTATACACATCCCTATGTGTGAGTCAATACGCAACGTGGTGTTATTCACAAAAGCAACAGGTGGAAAGAACCCACGTGTCCACCGACAGGTGAATGGATAACAGCTGTGGTCCATCCGTATGGTGGAATATTATTCCCTAAAAAGGCAGGGCATTCTGACCCACGCTACCCACAGGTGAACCTTGAAAACACTACACCAAGTGAAATCAACTAGAAGGACAAACATTGTTATCATTCCACATATGTGAAATATCCAGAATAGACCAATTCAGCGACAGAAAGCAGATTGGAGGTTACCGGGGCTGGGGGAGGAAGAACGGGGAGCCATTGCCTAGTGGGAACAGAGTTTCTCTTTGGAGAGATGAAAAGGGTTTGGAAATCGTGGTAATGCCTGTACACCATTGCAAATGTACTTAATGTCCCTGAATTGTACACTTAAAATACTTAAAATGGCAAGTCTGGGGATATAAGTATTTTGCCATGATGTTATTTGGGTTTGTGAAGCCCGCGCCTCCCTCCAGGTCCCATGATTCTCTGTGTGTTCTTCACTGGATTGGCCGTGGCAGGGAAGGTTTTCTCTCTCACAGGTTTTCCAGGAGGCCCACAGCTGAGCTGGGCCCCTCCCCACCGCTCTCCTGGCCACAGAGCCCTTTCTACCAGGTACAGGCTGGGCTAGGGGGAGGTCCGTGACCATGGATCAGAACAAACCATGAGAACCCCCTCACAGCTCAAACTCCAGACCGTAGCCTCTTGGTACCTGAGCCAACCTGCTCCGAGGCAGATGAATGAAGTAGAAGAAGCTGGCCCCGGAACTGGACAGACCACAGCAGACTCCCTCCACCGCTGGTGCTCAGGGCAGCTCAGCCGCATTGCTACACCATACAGGACCCCAAGGAGACTTCACGAGTCCTCACGTGCAGAGCTCAGGGACGGCCAGCTCCTTGCCCGCCCACCGGCTCCGTCCCCTAGAGCCCAGCATACACCTGGAACAAGCCAAGCGCTCCAAAGACATCCACTGACCAGATGGTGGGGGGTGAGCGGGGCATAGGAACAGCACCTTCTGAGCAACCCCTTGGCTGTCCTGGCCTCGGTCTCTCATCATGGGAGGCACAGCTGATCTGCCCGCCTTACCAAGGCTGTGCAGGCAAATGCAGCAGCGGAGACGGTGCAATCAGCACCCGCAGGTGTAGCCTGAACCCAGGTGTTGGCACCATAGTTGCTGCTCACACCTGCTGCTGCCATCCCACACCCTGTTCTCACCAAGAATCATCCCATCACCTCGAAATGCCTGAGACCCGAGCTGGGGGAACAGACGCGGTGCCTCCTGAGCAGGGTCCGTCCGCGCCTTACGTGAGGCTCTAAGTGTGTTACCAAACTTGTTAAGGGCGTTGTGGCTTCACAGCCAGAGTCTCGCCCAAGCGCACTCGCCGCAGCCCCTCCATCCTGGAGAGCTAGGAAAATCCCACAGGATGGCGAGCACTTCACCGCACCCTGTAAGCACAGAGCCAGCAACTAGCTCCAAGCACCTCCAAAACGGAAGCATGGCGGATGTCTTCTCTAGCACGCACAGAGCATAAACAGGAGCACCACACGAGACAATCCACGCTAGAGTTATTCTCAGGGGATCCAGACACTGACCCTGGGCGGGGGGTGGGGGGATGAGGCAAGAATCACATCGCAAATACCTTTAGAGCCAATGGGACCGATTTTTCCATGGCGACCCACATTGCCTTTCTGTCCTTTGTCCCCCACGTCTCCTGTAGAAAACAATAAAAGCAAAGTTGGTTGATACACAGATGATCCCGTGGCCTCCTCCATCACACATGTGCACAGGTGCCCCGACCGCCCTCCTTCCTAACATCGCAGACACATAGAAGAGACTAAGAAAGACAGCTCTAAATCTCTCCAAGGTCACGCAGGTCGCCTGTTGATACAGCTTCCGAAGGAAGATGCACTTCCCCCAGAAGTCATACACAGTATGGAACGGAGGGGCCGCACGGGGCATCCCTAAGTTCCAAACTCAACCATGGTCCATCCCCTCCGTGCCCGTGTGAGGGGAGGGCTCGTCTTTCCTCCATCCCAGCAAGGCAGAACCTCCCAGCTCTTAGTCCTGTACCCACCAAACCACGTACCCACAACCCTGCCAGCATGGACATAACCAGCGCTGTCAGGAACACGGTGTGGGGGGTGGGTGCAGGTGGCAAAGCCCCTGGCTCCTCTCGGGTGTGTGAACTTGAGCCAGGGAGGAGGGTCCCAGGAGTTGCTTCACCAGATGCCTCCCGACTTGACCGCTCTACAGCAGAATGCCGGATCCCCGTGACCTGCTGGCCCCTGTCCCCAGCCTGGGTGTGTGCAGCGGTGGTGTGTGGTGTGTGTCCCCTACCCTTCTCCTCTCATTCATAGCAAGAGGGACACCAAGATCCCACGGGATTGTCTCTCTGAGCACTGGACCACGCCCGAAGAATGCCGCTGTCACCCAGTCCCTAGAACAAATTAAACCAGAGGGTGGAGTTTCTCAGTGCTCCCTCCCACCAAGTGTTAAGCCCTCAGCAACTGCTCCTACCTGCCTGCTGGTGATCACCACTGACCACCAACCCAACCAGCAAACAGCAAACAGCAAACAAGTATATAGGGAAAAACTGGGAAAAGAAACAGGCGACCTGATTTAACTCAGTAATTCTTTCTCATGGACGTGATTATACATTGTTAGGATTTCATGATCAGTTATAACCCATTGTTGCAGGAACTAAATGCAATTCAATGTGGGCAATCCTGCAAGACAGGGGTGGCAGGAAGGCCTTTCTACTGCACGCAGATAATGCTCTGTCCCGCAGTGACGCCAGAGAACCAAGGACTTCCCTGCCAGGAACTCCTAGTCTTGTTTTGCAAAGCAGTTGTAATGTTCCCCCAATTCAGAATAGACAGAAACCAGAGGACAGAACATAGACTTCAGTGAGCTTTGCTAAAATGAAACCACACACACCCCTGCAAAGAGTGGTTTACGTTGCATTAAAATGCAGCCTTGATTCACAAAGCACATTCACATGCATTCTCTTATCTGGCTACGAAAATGACACAGCTTGGCATGGCAGAGCCAGGACAAGAGCCACGCCCTGCTGCTCTGAGGCCCAGGCTGCTCTCCTGATGCTAGCAGCTGGGGGCCACATCCAGCCTGGGGGACAATGGGGGGACGAGGGAGGCAGGGGAATATCCTAATGGCACCTAGGCTGGACAGCCAGCACGGAGGCGACTCTGCTTTGCGCCCCAGGCACTGTGTGTCGCCAGCTGTGCAGGGCGCTGGCTGCAGGAGTCAGAGCTCAGGGTCTACTGGTAAATCAGGACCACAGTCCAGCAACTGCAGTGCATGCAAGAGGAAGGGAATAGAAAAAGGGCACGGGGACGCCACTTCCTCGTCCGTCCTCAGAGCCTAGGAAAGCATCGGGGAGGCTGTGGTGCATGCTCCGTGCTGTGAGGGAGGCAGAGAGTTGGAGAAGAGGGCGGTGAGACCAGACTTGTGTTCAGGAAGCATCTGGCAACACTTGTTGGAGAGACTGAAAGGCACGAAAGGAGGCCAAGGGCAGAGCAGGCCGGGGGTGAAGGGGGTCGCGGTAGGCAGGGTCTGGGAGGACGAGAAGAGCGGCCCAGATCGGGGAGACACCCAGGAGGTGGGATGTGCGGATGAAGCGCACACAGCTGGCACTGGGTGGCAAGCCCTCCCCGAGGCGGGGGCAGGAGACACAGCTCTGGAAAGGCACAGAGGGGGATGCCACGGGGCGTGTGGGGAGACGGGGACAGGCAGGGGAGAGGGGCCATCATGTGACAGTGACAAGGGCCAGGAGGGCACCTGAGAGAAGTGTCCAGTGGGAGGCGGGGGCCGGGTGGCCCCTCAGGAGACCCACATGAGGAAGAGGAGCCCAGGGAGGAACCTGAGGGCAGCGGGGCAGGCAGGGGCACAGCAAGGTGGCTAGAGGCACTGCCACCGGGGGGCACCCAGTGAGGACAGGGCCCAAGACACAGGCAGGGCCGGGACCGGGTGGACAGCCAGGAGGTCTCACAGAGGGAGAGGCAGGGCCCCCACACCAGAGGGGACGCTCAGTGTGTCGCCTTCCATCAGGGGCCAGCCCTGCCCTGCTCCGAATCCCTCTGCACAGCAGCCTGTGAGTCCAATGCCTACTGGAGCCACCCGGTCTACTCTTCTGACAGCTGGTGCCAGGCACCCGTTCCTGCTGTTCTGAGTCATGACAATTTCAACCTGAAATTTCTGTAATAGTAAAATGCCAGAGCAAGGAGAGAGAAGGGCGACTGGAACAAACAGCTTTAGTAAACCAGCCAACCCATTATACATGCCCAAAACTTGCTGCAA